GCTGCTTCCCATCCTGGGCCAGGTGGGAATGTTGGGCAGAAAAGAGCCTGTGCAGCCAGTGAGCCCAAAGAGACCACACTGCCCTCTCTTAGGGCACCCCCACCCTGACCCTCCTGCAGTGGCCAAGCACAGCTGGTCTGTGTGGGGTTATGATTGCTGACCCCCAAGGCCTGGGAAGAAGCAACTCAAGTCATGGACAGAGGAAACTGCATCCGGACCCCAGAGGTGGGTAGGGGTGGGATGGGGTAGGTCAGAGGGCAAGAGGCTCCAACCAGAGCCCCTGCTGAAAGGGGTCAGTGCCCAGACCTGCCCTCCCCCCAGCAGCCCCTGAAGGCCAATGTGTGTGTGCAGAGAGGGACTTGTAGGAGAGAGGAGGGCCAGGCGCTAGGGCCCAACAGGGGCGACAGGCAGGTGGAAGGTGGAGCAGAGATCTGTCTGGGTTGTTACATTTTGGCAAATTCGCACAGAGAGGGAGAAGGGGTGGAGATGAAGATCCCACCTGAAACATAAACCAAAAATCACCCCCAGAACTGAAGACTCGGGACACCATGAATGGGGATGCTGTCATTGACTTGGCATGCCTGTGACAAGGCTGCATGGTGTGTGTGGGCAGGAGGGGGGCAAGTAAAATCAGGATGGGGTTTCTTCTCCAATAGGAAGTGAGTGGGGACCACGGGCGCTCAGTGCTGGGCCCTGTGCGGGAGGAAGCAGCCCCTCCAACTCCATTTCCTTTGAGGGAAGTGAGGAACCTGGGAGGTAAGGAACATGCCCCACTGTCCTGGTACCTCCTTCCCAGCTCCCAGGAGGTGAAATGAGGCCTGAAGCAGAGAGCACCAATAACAGCTAGGAGGCTGGAACTCATTCCTAGGATTGGGGGGGGGGGGGGGGGGGCAGAGGGTGGAGTCTGGGCCTGAGCCAGCCCCTCTGTGACCTCGATGTTGGGAAGCTCCAGGATCCCTGCGCAGACAACGTTTGCACCCACCAGCAAGAAGGAAGTCCAGCCCTGGCCCTTGGAGACCCTTGGAGAACAATCCCCTCCCCATCTCTGCTCAGCTGCATCTCATCTGTGACAGCTGGGGGTGTCCTGGTTGCAGGTAGGACACGGCTGTGATCCAGGAAAGCAGCTGATATGCTTCTCCCAAGCCACACCAGAGACCCGGGGGTCACCCAATGCCCGCTGGGTGCTGGCTGAATGCTGGGGAGGTGAGAAACTGTGGTCAGGTGGTCTAAAGTCATAGCCTTTGGATGAACTCCATGCCCAGGGCTGGGAAAGCACTCATCTGCCTCAGTCCCTATATTGAAAACCCTCCAAACAAGACAACCGGAAGTACTAGCATCAGGAAAACAAGGTCAGATGGACAGTTGGCTTTTAAATGCCCCCCTTTCCGGGCAACCCACAATGCAAGGGCTTTCTTTGCACCATCTCCAACCTCGTGAAAACAGCAAGTGTCCTGGGGTGGGAGGGTGGGGCGCCACTGCCTGGCTCAGGCCCCAGGAGGAGAAGCTGAATTCAGGTGCCTCGGAAGACACTAACCCACCAGGATGGACATACCATGGTCAGCTCCACCGTTGCCTTCCTGCTGGACAGCGCTGAGCCTTAGCCCCTCTGCTCTGCTGCTGCCTGCTGTATTCAGGGTCTCTCCAGGGGACACCCGACTTGCTGGCTTGGCTTTCTGTACTTCCTTTTTGCTCAAGGCCCTCACCCCAGCTTGGCATGAAGCCAAAGTTTGCTCATGCCTGGGATGAAACTGGGGTCAGAAGAACAAGGCCAAGGGGTCGCGGCCAGGGATTGGGGCTGGATCACTCAGCCAACTGCAGCCACTAGGCTCTTAGCAGACCCCCTGAAGTCCCCACCAGGCTTGGGGAGGGAGAAGGGACCGCCCAGTATGGTGACCAAAAGGTGCTTGTAGCATCCTTCCCGTTCTTTCTGAGGGTCACCCTGTTAGCTCTGGTTAGCCAAGCAGAGGACACCTTCTGAGCACTGCCTTCCTTCCCCTTCTGGAGCTGGGCTCTGTCACGGACTGCATCTAACCTGTGGAAACTCCACACTCTAACATTCCTCTGGTGTAGAATCTCACTGGGTCCGCTAGGGACCCCACATCTGAGCCTGTCCTGGTGATCCAGGCCAATAAGGGGGTCTGCAGCAGCAGAAGGGGTTAATCTTGCTCCAAGTCCCGTCTATCATCCTTCGGTCCTTCTGGTACAGTCAGATGCTGGCTCCAAGGCAGGCTCTCTGCTGGCCAGGCCAGACCTGGGCCTCCAGCCCAGTGGCTTCTGCTGGAGCTCAGGGACCCCCACAGCCCCCCTATAGGAGTTGCCCAAGCAACAGAGTCCCCACATCCCACCCCACAGGGGTCTCTAGACTTCCTGTCTAAAGTCTGTCTTCAGCTCTCAAACTCAGAGCTAAGACTCCAAAACTCAAGTGACTATCTCCACCGCCCTAGCAGGCATCTTATACCTGCTGCACTTCCCAGCTCTGGCCCCGAGGGTCCCTGTTAGGTTCTGGAAGTACCTTGAAGGCCATGCAGTCCCTATGTCCCTGCGATCCCTGTCCCCCAGCACCCAAGTCCAGAGAACCCTAATCCCCAAAGTCCAGCAGAAACCCGACTGACCAGCAGTGTGGCCCAGGGTTCTCAGACATGCCCCCTCTGTCCACCCCCAAACGGCTGTTGCCAGCCAAGCTTGTGCAGACCAGCACGGCCAAGCTCTCAGCTGGCTGGTATCTACTTGATAAACTGACCCTGAAGCTCTCCCAGCCCGAGGCCCTGAGTGACACGGCCGTGGTGACCCCCTTCCTTGGTACCCCTTGGGTGCTAGCTTGCCCATGTGGCAGCCCTGGCACCACACCACACGGTTCCTCTGGTATGTTCTTCCACCTACACTTCCCTGGCTGGGTAGGAAAGGGCTCTCCCCTCCTCCATGCTCCTTCCCAGCTTTGGAGAAGGGGGGGAGGGGAAGAAGAGGAACGGGGCGGGGGTTGTGCAGAGGGGAAATGTCCTTCCAAGCACACAAACCCCAAATTAAGCCAGCCCACCCCGGGGACGCGTGGTGACACCTGTCACTCAGGAGACTCCCACCCGCGTCTGGATCGTGTCACTAAACATGCGCCATCTCTCTCCTCCACCCCCTCAGAGCCACCCCCAGCCAGAGCCAGGAAAAGAAGATCCCTTCTCTGGGGGTGTGGGGGGCGCACCCCCACCTGAGGCCTGTCAGGCATTCAGGCTAGCGCCCTGGAGCTGCTGGGGGTGGGGGAGCGCAGGGCTGGGGGAGGGAGGGCAGTGTCACCACATCCCCCCTTCAGGGGCCTTCCCCTGAACTCTGAGCGTGGGGGGAGGGGGTGCAGTCTGCACACCCAGAAGGCTCCTAGACTCCTAACAAATCCCAATCTGCCCCACGCCTTGAAAATGCGGAAGTTTCCTGACAAAGGACTCTCTGCCAGGCCCAGGCCAAAACCTGGAAGAAGGGGGTAACACTCCAGATGTTCCCCAAGTGCAGCCGAGGTTGGGGGGGAGCAGGGCTAGGAACAGAGAGTAGGGTCCCACCAAGTGGGAGGTCCCAGGCGGGGGCAGTGGCTGCAGGGGAAATCCCTTCCCAGAAGGGGGTGGACACTGTCCCAGGGGTGAAGGTCAAAAATGGAAGCAGCAATCCCCCAGCAGCTCAGGGGAGGTCACAGGGACTGTCCCTATGACACTTGTGTCCCCAAGCACTTCATCCAACTAGGAACGATGTGCAGTTCCACCTCTAGCACTGGCTGAATCCTGTGTGAGGCCCAGGTCGGTCGAAAAGGCCCCTCGGAGAGCTCTGTGTCCAGGGCCGTGGGGAAGCACTCAGAGGCCAGGTCCACGGGCCAGCTCTTCTGATGTCCGATGAATGTGAACACAGGCGGTGGCCTGTCACTGTCACTTTGCTTCTCCTTCCTCTCAATTGCACAAGGACCTCAGTGGCCAGGTCAACTTTTGCCGATTCCAGTCTCCACTGGCACTGAGTGTGACAGCGACCATGTGTGTGGTGGTACCTGGCGGGCCCCTGGGCAGAGGGAGGAATGCCCTCAAGGAGGGGCAATGGTGGCAGTCGTCAGGAAGGATCTTCTCACAGAGATGTTTCTGGCAGTCCTAGACCCCAGCAGCTCTCTTCTGTCAGTTTGCCCCCATGACTTGTGTGGCGGTTACACGTGACAGTTACCCAGTGCTGTTGGTTTGACCGTCTTCACGTTTCACCGCCTCAACCAGGGTGTTGGGAGATATCTGACCGATGTCTCCTATTTCTGCATTCACTGACTCCAAACTCAGAGACCCACCGATCCCCAATGTCCGAGCAAAGAATGGGGAAGCAGAATCATGCCAAGTGTCATGTGAAGAGTTTCCAGGCCTCTTGGGGTGTGTGTGTGGGGGGAGAGCAGTGTTCTTCACTTTGGTTCGGTGCTTCTGGTGATCCACATTGGTGGCGATCCAGCCCCCTTCCCGGGGAAACAAAGTTGAAAATGCTCACACAGGCCCAGAGGTTTCAGGGGTGAGGGTTTGGGGGCTGCGTGAGAGAAGGTGTGTGTGTGTGGGGGGGGGTACCAGGAGACACTCATGGGGGTTCCGGCCCCAGAGCTGAGGGCCCAGTGGGCTTTCCACCACCAACTGGAGTATATCCTCCTGCCCCCTGCCCCAGTGCTGAGCCCAAGAGGCCACTCTGAGGGGACTGAGCACCCAGAGACTGTGTCTGCCCCAGCCCTGTCCTACACAAGCCTCTGCTCATTGAATTAGCCCAGTACTGCCCAGCTTGCCACTCCCATGTGCCCATGCCAGGTGGGGGCAACGCAAGGGAGGGCGTGACCCCCAGCCTGGGACAGCATCCCCCTTGCTACCCACCCCACCTCCAGATGCTCTGGGTGCCTTGTCTGCAGAACTTTCTGGAGCCAGGAGAGGCTGGCAGCCCTCAAAGCCAGCTTAGATACATAGGCATCTTCAAAAGAAATCATGTGTTGGTGCATCCCCCTTGGTACTCCAAACCCAGGAAATGGCAGAAGAGAATATGGAAAGGTCCTGGGGGCCACAGCAGCCTGATGCAACCCTCATGGGCCCCCCTGGACTCGGCAGCTCCCGCGGGCTCACAGCTGTTGTGGGATGCCTTGCTCCTTGTACCCTGTGAGAGAGATGCAGAGAGATAGTCAGGTAGCTGCCTCTGGGGGGAGGAGGGGGACAGACAAAAATTATATTTCTGCTGATCACACAAAGGCTATCACAGAGGTCAGTTTATTGATTGATTGATTGATTGATTGACTGATTGCTTTTTGGGTCACACCTGGCAATGCACAGGGGTTACTCCTGGCTCTGCACTCAGGCGTTACTCCTGGCAGTGCTCAGGGGACCATATGGGATGCTGGGAATTGAACCCGGTTTGGCTTGCATGCAAGGCAAACACCCTACCTGCTGTGCTATCTCTCCAGCCCCCCAGAGTTCAGTTTTAATGCAATATTCTGGCTCTTTGCTGGGAATGAAAGGATGAATGGAGAAGTGTGGAGGGTTTAGCAAGATCGTGAGAGATGGGGCCTGGAATGGCTGGATGGGGGTCTGCAGCAGCCTGATGCAACCCTCATGGCCCGCCCTGGGCTCTGCAGCTCACTCAGCAGTACACTGAATCTACAGCTCTGTAAGCACTGCACAGCACCCCACCGCCCTGGCCAGGCATGATATGCCCAGTCAGAGCCTTGAGAGAAGGTTTCACACAGGTGTTATCAGCACTGGACACCTGGCATGTGTGGATGGAGAGGAGAAAGGAAGGTAGGGGAAGAAGATGGCATGCAGGGGGCAGAGCCACAGGCATGCAGAATTGGCCGTGCCAGTCAGTCCTCAGTGGCACAGTTGTCGAGCCTCTAAACTGCTAATAATGATGAGACCACTGGGAAAATTTGACTACTGTGATATTATAGAAGTGATGATTTATTTAGGAATGAAGAGACATCATTGTGTAAGGGGGGAAAAAAAGCAGGGTCTGGAGAGATAGTACATGGGTTTCAGTGTTTGTACCTGGCATGCAGCCCATACCAGCACTACAGGTTATCACTGGGAGTGACCCTGGAGGCCCCTGCTGGTACCCAGCTCTGAGGACCTGAGCAGTACTACATCCTCAGACCCAAGAATCCACCTGCCAGCCTGGTTGGCTGAGAATAATCTAGAGATGCCCCTGGGTCCCCCTGAACACACTTGGGAAACCCCAGCCACAAACTGATAAAATCTAAGAGAAAAAAATAATCACCTACTGCAATATTTAGGGATGAATGAAGAACCTGGACTTTGCTAAGCAGTTTTGCCCTAGGAGCTACCCTAAAGGAGTAGCATTGCATTTAACTGAATTTTTTTTTTCTCTTTCTTCACTAAAGTTCCCATTGGTGAAGGGAACTTTGGCATTGAAGACCATTTTGATGCCACAGTCCAGAGCCGGGGGTGGAGAGTGCATGGGAGACATAGAGGAGGAAAAAACGAAGCACAAGAATCCGGGAGCCGCCCTCCCCCCACTCGCTCGGCCACAGGAGCGGGGACGCAGGCCAACAGCCAGGCCTCAGTGAGGAAAACCCACCCTCCAATTTTGACTCCACTTTTGACATTTTTCAGAAGAAAAAGTTATAAACAAAAGCATGCTGACCGACGAGGAGAGGGGGATTAGGGGGGAGCCTGCACCCCAAAACAGACTCACCTTGAGAAACTTGGCAGTGATACCAGGAAAGGTGAGCATGAGGAAGAGGAGACAAAAAGAAAGCATAAGAACAGGAAAGCTGAGGGACTGCAGGGATATAAAGAGGGAGCGGCCTGATGCTCAGCTGGGAGTACCCAAAGTCCACCGAGGCCAGGGGGTGGGGGGTCACTGATGGCTGCCTTTCTTTTTTTTTCTTTTTGAGTCACGCCCGGCGATGCTCAGGGGTTACTCCTGGCTCTGCACTCAGGAATTACTCCTGGTGGTGCTCAGAGAATCATATGAGATGCTGGGAATCGAACCCAGGTTGGCGCATGCAAGGCAAATGCCCTACCCACTGTGCTATCACTCCAACCCCTGATGGCTTTCTTTTTTTGGGAGTCATGCCAGAAACTCTCCTGAGTGTCTGCTGCCTGCAGTCTCAGCGTAACCCACAATTGCCCCTGTCCCGCCCCCCCTTACTTCCTTCACTGCCAGCCCATGTTGGCCTAGAGGTTTTGAGTGAGACAGAGCAGGGCAGGGCTGCTAAATGATGGGAAAACACTGAGGTGACCAGCTGGTCCCAGCCCAGCTCTGCCTGACCCATGCAGTTCACCTTCACGGAGACAGGATCCACGTCTATCAAACGTAATGCCCTCAAGAAAGACAACAGCCCAGGGACAGCAAACAGGATTGATCTGGCAGACATCCAGCCTCCAGGATTGGTTATTCACACCAAGTCCTGTGCTGAGAATAAGCAGAGGCCCAAGTATCGTGATTAATTAGCATCATCTTCATGGGTCCCTGTGGTGAGGATGGCCCTCCTATGAGAGGAGCAGATGCCATGGCCTATGTGGGAGACCCCCGAGGCCCCACCGCCTGCCCCTGTGAGGGAGAGAGGACACGGTGAGAGCGGGCGGGGGCCCTTATGGGAGGCGAGAAAGATTTCCTAGGCTTGCTGGCAACCGCTGGAATCTTCCAGTTTCAACCTGCAATCAGACAGGGTACTGCGGGCCCTGATTCCAGTGTTCCCCACCCCCAAGCACTAGTTGGTACCTGAGGCTTCTGCATGTGTCAAGGATGATGCATCCCTCTCTCCAAAAGGAAGTGGTGACCCAAGAGCTAGTACAGCAGCTCCCTGACACCACATTTGGTCCCCTGATCCCTGACTACCATCCCCTCCTCATGAGAACTGAAGACCCTCTCGGGAGCAGCCCCACCAGCAGCTACTGGCCAACCCTGGCAGCTCTACCCATTTCTCTCCAGACCCTACTTATTCCCCAGAGTTGCTTGATTTGCTCACTCACACTCAACTGTCCTGGTCTCGGACCCCTTCCTCCAGACTTCCGCTGCTGGAGGAGCTGCTTCTAACATTTTCCTCTGCTGGATCTCTGTTTCTCAGACCTGACAGCTCAACTGGCCACTCCCCGAGGCTTTGCCTGGTTCTGCCATCTATGGATCCTGAAATCAATCAGTAATAGAACCTTCTAGGACATTCTAGAGTTCTATGAATTCTGAACCTCTCTCCTCTGGCTTCTGCTGTCCTTACCTGGCACTGCTCACCTCTGGCCCAAACAACAACTGCTGAGAGGTTGTGTGGGATATAGGAGGTCTTGAGAATATGGGACATGGACAGAAGGATCACATGCCCAGGAGAGCTGATCCCTGTAAGTGAGGAACTTGGCCTAATGCAGAAGGTCAATGGGAAGGGACAGGCAGGAAACATCAGTTAGAGCTCAGGATGCAGCTGCCTGAACTTAGTAATGTCTGTCTTAGTATCTTGCCTCGTTAAACAAATTAAATTGTCTTTGGTAAACTTGATCAGGTAATGTGAAGTCCTTTTATGAAACAGTTCTATGTTTAAGTCAATTTGTGTCAAATGATTGCCACCTCAACACACTTTGAATCACTCTGTACGAAGAAAAAGGGGCCTAGCGAGAAGCGGAATGGGGGTGGGTAGGTGGGGAACATGTGGTTCCACAGGAGAAACTTGCTTTACAGGGATGAGGCCAGGTGCTCGCACCAACCTCAGCTCCACACACAAGCAATTTTAAATGAAAAACAAGTGAAAGAAAAGAAACACCTGTTGAGTGTGTCCAAAAAAAAAAAAAAACCCAAAGAAACAAACAAAAAAATCACGTAACAAAGAAAAACCTGGGGCTGAAGTGATAGCACAGCGGGTAGGGCGTTTGCTTTGCACACAGCCAACATGCCCGACACGGGTTCGATTCCCAGCATCCCATATGGTCCCCCGAGCACCGCCAGGAGCAATTCCTGAGTGCATGAGCCAGGAGTAACCCCTGAGCATCGCCGGGTGTGACCCAAAAAGCAAAAAAAAAAAAAAAAACAAAGAAAAACCTAGGACCAGTTTTCACTAAAAATGAATTTTACTAAAATGTAAAGAAACCATAAGCAAAATGAAAGACCAATCTATGGTAGCTGAAAAGACAGTACAGAGGTTAAGGGACATGCTTTGCATGTGAATGACCCCAATCTGATCCTTGGCACCGCCTGATCACCCCAAGTGTCACCTTATGTCAGACTGGGCATTACCTGCAGACCCCCCAAACACTGCTGGTGGCGCAGGTAATCCTCAGTCCCGCAGTCTTGGACCCACCATTGAACCACCAGCCAGGCTGGCTGAGAATTGCTGGGAGGAACCCACAGGTCTCCTGAGCACTACTGAGGGTCCCCTCTCCTGCTCTACACCATATCTATGGACTGGGGAATTTTTTTCAATGTATATCTGATACAAGGGTTATAAACAAAATATATTTTAAAAAACTCATACAAGTCAATAAAAACACAAATACACACACACAAAATTTTGTAATGGCCAAAGAACCTTACCGCACATTTCTCCAAAGATATATTAAAGACAATTGATGCATTTTGTTTTGTTTTTCTTTTAGTGCCATGCCCAGTCGTGTTCAGGCTGGCTCCTGGCTCTGTGCTCAAGACTCACTTGTGACAGTACTCAGAGGATCATAACAGATGTGGGAGATCAAACCGGGTTGGCCACATGCAAGACCCTACCCACTGTTCCATAGTTCTGGCCCAACAATGAAATACAATTCTTGAAATGTTTAGAATCACCAGTTATTAGGCAACTTCAAGTCAAAGTCGCAGTGACCTTTCATCCCCACCTGTTGGAATGGCCAGCTCAAAGGGACAAGAGAGAAACAAGGGTTTCTCTCTTCTCTTACCTCAAGGAAAGGTTAGGGGAGAAGGAATTGTTAGGCACCATCAGTGGGCATGTGAATTGGAGTGGCCATTGTGGAAAACAGGATGGAGGAGCCTCAACAGGTTAAAAATAGGACAGCCATAAGATCCAGCCTTTCCGCTTCTGGGAGTATACCCAAAGTAAAGGCAAATACAAACTTCATTTAGTTTGGGGCCACACCCAGCAGTACTCACGGTTTACTTCTGGATCTGAGCTTAGGGATCAATCAGGGACCATATGGGAGTCCAGGGATTGAACCTAGGTCGGCCGCATGCAAGGCATTGCCCTACCCACTATACTATTGCTCCAGTCCCAGCAAACACTAACTTTTAAAAAGATATCTGCACCCATCCAGTTCACAGCAGCACAATTCACAACAGCCAAACCTTGGAAACAACCTCAATGCCTAGCGTTGGATGAAGGGAAAAAGAAATTGTGACATACAGTAAAGCGGGAACACGAGAGGCAAGACCCACTCAGGAGCTGAAAAAAGATGAATAGGTTGTAAATCACAAAGTTCCAACAAGAATAGAGCAAGGGAGCAAGTTTGATGAGGCTGCTGGAACAGGGTTCAAGAAGCAATTAGTGAATGTCTGTATGGAACTTAAACATGTATTAATTGTATTAATCACTGATTGTGTCATTGTATATGTTAAATGAAAAATGATCCTCCCTGCCCAGAAGCAATGTAGCCTATTCCTAGTGTTTTAAAGTTCTTCATGACCTGTGTACAACACTTGCTTCATCTTTATGGCAATCACCAAGTAGAGTCCACATGCATAAATAAACTGGGGTCTCCCTCTGTCTCTGGTCAGATTTCTGTACACACACACACACACACACACACACACACGTAAGTATACACACATACACAAACACACTAGAACATTATTCAGTCACTTACAAGTGAGGAAGTCCTGCCACTTGAGATTTTGAAATGGCAGGAATGGGCCTTAATGCTAGTAAACTAAATCAGAGAGAGACAAACATGATCTGATCTCACTAATATGTAGAACTGAATAGCAATGGGAAAAGTCAAAGAAAAAAAGAACTCACACTTGTGGTTAACAAAAGTGGTTGGGAAGGTGGTGAATAGGCACAGCTCCCCCAGGCATAAGCTCAGTAAGTACCTGGAAGTGAGGCACAGACCCCTGGGAGTGGCTCAGGAAACAACGGGGGTCCTGTGTGGGGACTTTGCTAAGACCCTGTGTGGGATCTGGGGAGGGGGGGTCACGAGAGAGAGCAGTGTCTCAGGGCTCTCAGCAAAAGCATTTTTTAATCTTTTAAAAATGCTATTGTATCTGTCTGAGAAGATGGATGTGAACTGAACCCACTGTGGTAATAATTTAACAAAAAAGTGTAAACCACCCCCAGGCTGTCTGCTTTAAACTTCTATGTTGACACATGTCAATATAACACGGTGAAGGGGAGATTCTGTTGTTCTTTCTCTCATAAACACAGTTGGAGGGTGGACAAATACTCAAACAGTCAATCCTTTCTTTCTGGAAGCTGCCTGGTGGAGGTGGGGAGCTGAGCTGATTGGGGGTGCACACCCTTGCTCCCCAATGTGGCCAGCTGGCCTATCTCTTTGGCCACAGCGATGCTGTCTGATGTGTGGCAGCTGAGTAGGGTTCCCTCCCTCTCTCACACATGCGTCTGGCTCTGACCTCTGCCTGTCTCATGCACAGGTCAGGAGAGGATCCCCTAAACCAGGCAGATACAGTCTCATGAGAACCCCAATGAGCCCTGAGCAGAGGGGCAGGCCTAGCCCCGTGGCTCTCGGTGCCCAGACCCCAGCTTCCAGCATCACACTGACTTCATCATTGTCCTTTCCAACTCTCCTCCAGTCCTACTCCACCAGTCCCACACAGCAGTGGTTACTCACTGGCCAGGATGACCATGTCCATGCCCCAGAAGATGCTCATGATCCAGCCCACCATGACAATGGCCGTGAGGATCTGGATGAGGGCCGCGGCGATGTTCAACCAGAAGACGCAACACACGTGCCTGTCAGGAAGGTCAGTGCGGGCCCCGCACAGCACGGTGAAGGCCGAGATGAAGGTCCCTGCGAAAGGTCAGCGGGAACAGTCGTGTGAGCGCACAGGGAGACATTGGCAAGCTTGCTTGATACTGGCCCATTGGTTGACCCTCTGCAGCCCCACCCGGCACCTTCCGTCCCACCCCTTCCTGTCTGTCCTGGCACAGACCATGTACCACCCAGGACAAGACAGGGCATGAGGCTGCCAAGGGCCCAGGATAGTAAGAGAACCTTAGGAAACATGAATGACACGGGGCAAGTGGTGAAGGAGTGAGGACAAAAAATGTGGGAGAGAAGGGAACCAGTCTGTGTGACAGGGTTCAGAGCCAAGTGCACATAGTGCTAGTGTGACAAAGAAGTCACCCACTGACCTAAATTGAAGATGCGACCCTCCAGAAAACACACTAGTGCTGAGAAGTGGGAGCAGGAAGGAACTAGGCCCCCAAGTTGCTTCAGAATGGGGAGAGTGCAGGCTGGGTCAGATGTCCTAGACCCTGTCCTGGGAGGGGTCCCGCATGTACCCCAGGCCTGCAACGGGAGGGGCAGGAAGCCTGAAATTTCTTTTGCAGCCATGAGGCACTGAGAAATGTGACAGCTGGGAGCTTCCCAGAGCCCTGAGGTAACATCACTCTGTTCACCAACGTTCTCCTGGAGCCTAGTCTGTAACCAGAGGCCACAGTGCCTCACATCAACCCTGTGCGGTAACTGGTCCCCAGGCTGCACCCGCTTCCTCCTGCTACTGTGAGAAGGAACTGAGGCTTCATAGCTCGAAGTAAAATCGGTATAAGGTGTCTGGGGTCAGAAGTCTGACCCAGATCCTACCAGTCCTGCCCAGAGGCACAGGACATTTGGTCTCATCTGTCCCAGCCTCTGGAGACTGCCTGCTGTCCCCATCAGTGTCAAAACCTATGGCCAAGCGTCTTCTCTCCTGCCTACTCTCTGCTTCCCTCCCTTCCTCTCTCTGACTCTGCTCTTTCGACCTCCTTCTGCAATCCTTTGCAAGTTCACTTGTCAACCAGCACACCCCAGACAATTCCCTCCTGTTCGATCCTTAACCCCATCTGTAGATTCTTTTCTCATGTAAGGGAACAGAGTTATAGGCCTTAGGGAGCAGAACATGGATGTCAGGAATTTCTGAAGCCTTGTAGGCCCCACAGAGGTGCCCTTCCCAGGTGAGCTGACTCCTCCAGAGAGCAAATGACTTTTGAGTGTAAAGTAAAATGATCCAGGGCCCACACCCAAACGCTCTCCTCTAAGGGCCTCTCACACTCCAACCACCCAGGGGCAGGGACTAGACAACCCAGCACAGTTGCATGCACGAGAGCCCTGAAATTGTTCAAACTAGCTCTGAACCTCCCCCCCCCCCCCCCCCCCCCCGCCACCACCACCACCACCGCAGCCCTGCTCCTTCCCACACTAAAGCCTCCTGACTAGGGATGAGGCTCAGTAGTCAAGTGCGTATTTCTGGGGATTTGGGGGGGATTGGGGTCCTAAGCAGAGCTCAGGAGGTCTGAGGGCTCCACCGGTGACTCTCGGTCAACCAGATGGTCATTTCAGCATGACAGTCTGAAGATGTAATGCTGCTTGGTCCCTGCAATGTCAGGGTCATCCAGGCCACCCCAACAGTGCTGAAGGCCTCGAGGGCCACCCCGACAGTATTTGGGGGCCTCCAGGCTTTCACTTGGTGGTGCCAGCCATGTCTTCTAAGCACTGTCTTATCTAGCTCCTGGTTCCTAACATGCACATTTTGCATGCAGGAGACCTAGGTTCAATCCCCGACACTGCAAAAGTGAGCAAATAAATACAGATAGTTAAGACCCATGTTTCTCACTTGCCCTCTGCCTCTGACTGGGGGTGGTGCTTCCGGGCCTGGTGTGGCCCTTCTTTAGGGAGCTGCCAGGTACAAACTGTCTGCAGTGACCCTTGTTTGCTCATCAAAGTCACCAGACTTTGATAATAGTGAAACCTACGTCTTTAAACAGACACACATACACAGACTCGAGGATAAAGTATCTTATTCAGGTCACTGTTATGGGCCACCCTGAACCCACTGCTGTCTGAGACCTAAGGCACTACAGCACTTACACACAGTCCTTAGAGTGTACTATGTACCTGTTAGAAAGGATGAAGTCATAAAATTTACATACAAGTGGTACTAAGTATCATGCTAAGCAAAATGAGTCAGAAAGAGAGGGACAGACATAGAAAGATTGCATTCATCTGGGGAACATAAAGTAACAAAATAGGAGACTAACACCCAAGAATAGCCAAGATAAGTGCCAGGAGGTTTACTCCATGGCTTGGAGGCCAGCTGCACACTCTAGGGGTAAAAGCAGCTCAGATAGAGAAGGGAGCACCAAATAAAAGGTGTTGGGAGGATCCTCCCAGTATGAGAGATGCATGCTGAAAGTAGACTGTAGACCGAACATAATTGCCACTCAATTCCTCTTTTGCAAACCACAACACCAAAAGTAGAGAGAAAACAAAAGGGAATGCCCTGCCACAGAGGCAGGGTGGGATGGGGGTTGGGAGGTGGGAGGGATACTAGGAGTAGTGGTGGTGGAGAATAAGCACTGGTGGAAGGATGGGTACTCGATCTTTGTATAACTGAAACCCAAGCACAAAAAAATTGTAAGTCTACAACTGTACCTCATGGTGTTTCACTAATAAAAATTAAGAAAAAAAAAAGCACAGGGACAACCTGTGCTCCAACCTTTATTATTAGCACCAGAATCACTGTCTATAAAAATGTCTAGGGACCAGAGAAATAGTACAGGATACAAGACACTTGCCTTGCATGCAGTCAGCCCAGGTTCCATCCCAGAATCCCACAGCCTGGGGGACCTAGCTTGGGGAACCCTATTCGGGGAGAAAAATTATATCTCACCAGAATTGCCAACCTTATTGGAGACCAACAGGCCTCTTCATGCATCTACCTGCTTCTTTGGAGAGAGGTCAAACCAAGGGTTCTGCAGCATGCAGCACTCTAGAAGGACACAGAGTGAAAGAGAAAAGCATCTGCTAGAAGATGAACTGACTCACCCAGCATTCGAAACAAAAACAACCTTTGCACTTATGTGGAGGGGGGATCTTTCGGTCACTGTCCTCTTCTCTTCATTGCTATCTATCTGATCACTCTAGGCTGAAGGCTCCCAAATTTACTTAGCCTACTGTCCCCTTTTCAGAAGAAAATACCAGTAATCCTTAGCACCCTAGACACCAGTGCTATGGCCCAGGACCTGATGCTGCTAGGGTGCTACAGTGATAGGGACCTCCAAGGCCAGACTCAGGGTGCTAAGGACACCGTGCGGTTCTAGGGATCAAATCCTGGGTGGATGCCAGCAACCTCTATACTCTTTTCCTGTCTCACTCTGCCTTTTTTGGGGGGGAAGTGGTTGGGGTACACCTAGCTGTGCTCAGGACTTACCCCTGACTCTGTGCTCAGGGATCACTCCTGGCAGGGCTCAAAAGATCATATGGAGTGCTGGGGATTGATCCCTGATCAGCCGCGTGGCAAGACAAGCATCTTACCCACTGTACTATCTCCCAAATCTACCTTTAAGTGAACAAATAGAAAGTGCCTCCCAAATGCACCCAAGGTTAAACCCCATGTTGCAGCACCCCCCACCCCAAGTGGAGGCAGGATCACACATTAGGAAGCATAGTTCTAGGATGTGGGTAGAATTATAAGTACCTTTTATGAACAATGCTTCGTACAATATGTGCATACATTACCTGCCAGGGCGTGAATTAGCATAAATTAATTGCATTCATTTACTTAATCATTGTCACTTAGCATGAATAATTTCACTAATGAGGAAACCTTGGTCCCTTTGGCCATACAAGGGAGAATATGCCGAGGAAGGCAAGAACTGAGTGGAGTTATAACATAAGACCGTTCATTTTAATGTATTCAGCAGGAAATTGTAAAAACGACTTTAACACATTTTCATGTGCAGAGGTGTTAATTATTTTAAATGAGTCCTACTCGCCAAGGAACAAGCCCTCCCCTTCTCCTGCAATACGCAGGTTTGGATCTCTGATGCTGAGTGCCAACCACACGCCCACACTGAGTCTTGGGAATGCAGAGTTCAGACTGGGGTGCAGGAGCAGGGGCGTGGCCCAGGAGCCCACACTGAGTGGGGACGCTGAATTACAAAAGTATCAGGATGAAGGATCAGTGATGAATTCTGTTGGATTTCTCAGGAAGATGGTTATAGGGGTAGGGCTAGAGGGGGCCAGTGGTGGGGTCCTGGGGAAACCAAGAAGGGCAGGAGGGCAGGGGAAGAACATTCTAGATATAACCCAGAAGGGCACAGCCTGACCAGAGAAGGAGCTGGGCTTGTGTACCCAGGGCAGCAGGGGAAAATGAGGTTGGTTGAGACTTTGATTTATGCTATCAGTGAAGCTAGAGATGCAACTCAGCAGTGCATGCCTCACATGAATGAGATCCTGGGCTCAATTCCCAGTCCTGCTACACGTGAATAAATAAATATCATAAATTAAAAGGACAAAATGGAAAGGGACAAGGGTTTGGCTAGAGGGAACCCAGAAGGCCTTTGCCATAGAATCAACTTCCAGGCAACACAAGCCACTGGGAAAGATGAGCTGTTTGGGGTTTTAGAGCACAGACAATGCCCCAAAAAGCTGGGGTGAAAAGGGTGAGGCAAAAGGCTGGGAGGAGAAGTATCCAGGTGGGAGGGAAGCAGGCCATGGGGGAGAGAGTGAGGAAGAGACCGCAGTCTTGTTAGGGTGGGGTTACTGCATGGGATGGACCTGGGTTTCTGGGATCCAGCCCCTTGATAAGATTAGGAGGGTTGGGATAGGATGTTGGGGTAGGAACTGTTCCCAAAGCAGAATTCTCACACTGAGCTTTATAGAAATGCAGGTGCCATGGGAGTGGGGAAGGGAGACAGAGAGTGAGTGAGTGAGAGAGAGAGAGAGAATGAAAGAGAGAGAGAGAGAGAGAGAGAGAGAGAGCGAGCTCAATGCCTTGCATTCAAAGACCCAGGGTTCAATCCCCGGCA